TATAGATAATAGCTGGGCAAGAAATAACGAACAAAAAGCGACGAGATTTGCCGATCATCTTGAGGAAATATTTCAGCCAATCTCATCAGACAATATTGAAGTATTACAGGAATTGGAAGAACAAGAAAATGGTGATATTGCTTTCGTAACTTCAAGTGAGGTCAAGAACGAGATAGCACAGAATATTAACCCAAAAAAGGCTCCGGGTTTTGATCTTATTACTGGTCAAATTCTGAAGGAACTTCCTAAGAAAGCTATAACCAAACTAACTAAACTGATCAATGCATCATTTAGATTGCAATATGTACCACAATTATGAAAGATAGCTGAAGTAATCATGATCCCAAAACCTGGAAAACCACCTCAGGAAGTAACATCATACCGCCCGATTTCGCTGTTACCTGTTATTTCTAAATTATTTGAAAAACTTCTATTAAAAAGATTAAAGCCTATCATAGACGAAAAAAAACTTATTCCAGATCATCAGTTTGGTTTTCGTGATCAACACTCCACAATTGATCAGGTACATCGGATAACAAACGTAATAGAAGATACTTTGAAAGAAAGGTTTCGGATTTTGATTCTGCAATATTCTTAGATGTAGCTCGAGCTTTCGATAAAGTTTGCCATGAAGGATTGAATTATAAACTCAACTTACTCCTTCCTGGTAAATACTCAAGAATACTGAATTCATACATATCGGACAGATATTTCAGGATCAAACAAGAAGATTATTATTCCGAAATTAAGAAAATCCAGGCAGGTGTTCCACAGGGTAGTGTATTAGGACCAATCCTTTATCTCTCGTACACTAGCGACTTGCCTATACCAGAACAAAGTACTGTTGCTACATTTGCTCACGACACGGCTATTCTGGTGACTGGTAACAACACTATTGAAACAACAGCAAGATTACAAAACGCAATCAACAAAGTGCAAAATTGGACTAACAAATGGCGAATTAAACTCAACGAATCAAAATCTATACATATTGACTTCACAAATAAACACACTCAGTATAAGCCAGTGTATATTAATGAAAAAATAGTACGATATGAAAATACGGCCAAATACCTGGGCATGACACTTGATGCAAAACTCAAGTGGAAACCACATGTCAAGAAAAAACTTGAAGAGCTGAACATAAAGTACAGAAACATGTACTGGTTATTGGGCAGAAACTCTGCCTTGTCAACATACAATAAGCTTTTGCTGTATGAACAAGTCCTAAAACCAGTGTGGACCTATGGTATTCAGCTGTGGGGCTGTACCAGCCAAAGTACCAGAGACATCATACAAAGATTTCAAAATAAGGTATTAAGAGGCATAGTTGATGCCCCGTGGTACATTCGGAATATCAACCTACATAAGGATTTGGGTGTAGAAATGATAGACAATATGCACAAGGTCATCAAAATCGATTACAACACCATGTTAACATTGAGGCTCTTCAACTGCTGGATAATGACAGCAAAATTAGAAGATTGCAGCGAACAAAACATTTCGAATTACTTTAAGATAAAATAAACTAAATGATTAAATTAAAAAAAAAAATCATTAGAATTATAAGCAAAAAGAAATTATCATAGGATAAAAAACTTTGTAAAATTTTGTAAAAGTAGTAAATTAGTTGGCTAAAAACAAATAACTTATTAGTGTTAAATTGCTAGATTGTTATAATGAACACACCAACGGTGTTTTTAATAAAAAAAAAAAAAAAAAAATTAAATTGTAAGACATATTTACAAATCTAATAAAGTTGGGTCAAACCAATGGTTTGTATTGTAGCACTTTTTCCTCAAGCAAGTGAAAATACTGCTAAATACACTCTCTGTATACCTACCACACTAATTAATAATTTTATTAATTTTTTTCATTCAACTATTTGTAGGATTGCATATATTTAGGATGAAAGGTTTAAGCAGTGTTTGAAATAAAGCCAAAATTAATATAAAGGGAGGTTAACATAATGTAATGGTTAATTGCGCGAGTTAAGAAAAATAATTATATTTTTTAATGTCATGAAATTTACCGTTAGCTTTTTGCGTTTATAGAAATTTGAAAAAACTAGCAGTTTCGGAAATATAAGGTGTCAAAAATTCAAATTTTACAAATTTCAAGAGGCGATAACTCCTAAAACCTTCTGGCTCCTAAAACCTGGGATCTGGAAGAAAAACGGCATAAAAAATTTGTAAAAAACGGATTTTAGATAACGGTAAATTTAAACGGCCGTTTTGTTTTTTAAAAGTTTGACTAAAGTATGCCGCGATAGGAGAAACAAGCCACTGTCTTTCTGCGTTTGTAAAATTTGAAAAATGCTTGTGGTTTCGCTGCAACAAATAGTTAAAAATGCCATTTTTAGAGTTTTGGGGGGGGGGGTATAACTTAAGCTTAAAGAAATAAAATTGAGGAACTTCTGTATTTCTTTGACACAATTTCAAAGCCGATACATATAATAGCACTTACCGAGACTTGGATAAATGATGAAGATATTGAATTAATTTTTTTTTTTTCGTCTGCATATCCATTAGCTGGACGTAATCAAATTACATGTTATAGTTTTACTGTTGTTGTTACTATTGCTGATGTTAGTTTTGAATTTTTAAGAAATTAAGAAATTTGGGAAACTACTTCTTTGAACTGGTCTCGATCTTCCACAATACGCATCAACTCGCCAATATTTTGCATACCGGTCCAGTTGCGTATATTACGCAGCCAGCACAGTTGTTTTCGACCAGCACCTCTTCTGCCTTCAATTCTGCCTTGAATTATAAGTCGCAAAAGTTGATATTTTTCTTCGCGCATGACATGTCAGAAATATGAAGTCTTTCTTTTCTTTATGTTCCTTAGTAGTTCGCTTGTTTTTTGGACTCTTTGAAGGACTTCATTATTTGAAATGTGTTCCGTCCATGATATTCGGAGCATTTTTCTGTATGACCACATTTCAGAAGCCTCCAATTTGTTCATCAACGGAGCTCCCAAAGTCCAACATTCCGCACCATAAAGTAAAACTGACCAAACATAGCATTTCAGAAATCGCAGTCTTAAGTTTATGTTTATAGCTCTTCTTCTTCTTCTTCTTCTGCGTATCCACTTATTGGATGTTTGCGACTACATTTCTATATGCCTCCCTGTCTTGCGCAACACGTACCAGCTCTTCTACTGTTCGTATGCCAGTCCATTGTCTGATGTTTCTGAGCCAAGACATCTGCTTTCTTCCCACACGCCTTCTTCCCTCAATTTTGCCTTGCAAAATCAGCTGCAGTATGAAATATTTGTCGTTACGCATTAAATGACCGAGAAATGTTGTTTTTCTGTGTTTTATTGTTAGTAATAATTCTCGGTCACTATTTACTCTTCTTAAGACCTCTTCATTTGTAACTCTATCTATCCATGGGATTTTTAACATCGTGCGGTATATCCACATCTCGAAGGCTTCTAGCTTGTTCATTGTTGATATTTTTAGTGTCCAAGCTTCCATTCCATAGAGGAGAATTGACCACACGTAGCATTTTACAAATCGAATACGGTTGTGGAGATGTATATCCCGATTGCAAAATATATTTTGGTACTTTATAAAAGAGCTGCGCACGTATTCAATTCGGCATTTTGTTTCCATATCTGAATTCCAGTCTTCGTTTAACCAACATCCCAGATACTTAAAACTTGAAACTCTTTCGATATTTTGGCCATTCACGGTTAAAACTAGATTAAAATGTGTTGGTCCTGGATATAACCATGAATTTGGTTTTAGAAATATTCATATTTAAACCGAAAAGCATACTGTGGTCATTTACTGAGTTTAAAAGTTGTTGTAGTTCAGTAATACTGCCGGCAATCAAGGTGGTATCGTCTGCATAACGTATATTGTTAATATTTACTCCATTTACTTTTATACCAACATCTACGCTATCAGCTACTTCTTCGAATATCTTTTCAGAGTATAGGTTAAAAAGTAAAGGGGATAATATGCAACCTTGCCTCACTCCTCTTTTTATTTCTATCTCATCCGTGGTGAAATCTCTCGTAACAACTTGAGCTTTTTGGTTCCAGTATAAGTTTTTGATACACCGAATCTCTTTTTCATCCAGATCTATTTTATTCAAAACCTCCATTAATTTGTCGCGTTGCACGCAGTTGAAAGCTTTTTCGTAGTCAATGAAGCATATAAAAATGTCTCGATGAACATCGCGGCAGTTCTGAATTAATATTTGGAGACCAAGAAGCGCTTCTCTCGTACCGAGACCTTCCCTGAAGCCAAATTGTGTGGTACTGATGCTGCTTTCACATTTTTTGTAGATACGGGAATGAATAATTTTTAAAAAAATTTTTAAAGCGTGGCTCATTAAGCTTATAAGTCGAAATTCACTGCATTTTTTCGAGTTTGATTTTTTAGGTAACGAACTTAGCCATTCCTTTGGATATATTCCGCTATCATAAATTTTGTTAAAAATGTTTTTCAAAATTTCTAAGTTTTCGTCATCTATTAGCTTAAAAATTTCTGCGGGTAGCTCATCGGGTCCAGGAGCTTTATTATTTTTTGACAACTTAATTGCTCTTTTTATTTCCTCTGTTGTTATTGAAGGACCTGTAGGTTCAGTTTCCGCAGTTCTTATAGCATCGGTTCTACTAATATCATTGAATACTTCTTCTATGTATTCCTTCCAGACTTGTTTTTTCTGTTCTTGATCTAGGACTATATTATTATTGTTGTCAACTAGATTAGAAAATGTCTGTTTGCGGTATACTCCAGCGGTTTCTTTAATTTTCTTGTGAAGATTAAACATATCGTGACGATTTTGAAAAGCCTCAATTTCTTGACATTGAGAGTTCAACCATTGTGACTTTGCAGATCTGATTTTTGAGCGAATTATTGTTTGCAGGCGCTTATATTGACTGTAGTCCTTATTTTTGTGTATTCGTCTCTGGTCCATTAAATTTAAGATCTCGCTTGTCATCCATTTCTGTTTTGCTCTGCTGTTCGTGGGGCCCAGTTTGGTTCAAGCTATATTTTTCATAGTACTTTTCAATCGATCCCATACTTCATCAATTTCCACATTATTAAAGCTGGTACCTTCGAAGTTTAATTTCATTTGATTATTAAGCTCCTGAGTAACTTCGGTTTTACATTCATCTTCCTTGAGTTTCTGTAGGTCTAAATGTTTTTTGCGTGTTGATTTTGTCATTACTGCCAATTTTATGTTGATTTGCGATAACAGTAAATTATGGTCTGAAGGAACATCGGCACCTGGATACGTTGAAACTTTTGATACGCATGTACTGTATCGCTGGTTAATTAATATAAAGTCGATCTGGTTCCGGATTATATTTCGATCATTATCTTCAGGTGATTTCCATGTGTAAAGTCGACGAGGTGGTAAACAAAACCAAGTGTTCATTATTTTGAGCTCCTGTTCCGTACAGAACTGAATTAGTCTATCACCTCTTGGGTTTCTGGTACCTAAACCAAATGGTCCAACAATTTTTTCTACTTGCGACTTTCCTATTTTGGCATTAAAATCCCCCATAATGATGTTAATCTCGTGTTTTTTGGTCATTTTCATGAGCTCCTCGACTTCATTGTAGAATGATTCAACGTCTTCGTCAGTTTTATCAGCAGTTGGTGCATATGTTTGAATGATGTTTATATTCAAAGGCTTTGCGTGTATTTGAAGCAATAATGTTCTATCTGAATATGGCAAAAAGTTTTTTACACATTTTTCGACGGCCTCGGAGACGATTATTCCAACCCCATTATTATAGCTCTGCTAGTTAAAATTTTATTATATTTGCAGAAAGAGTTGCGTGCCATTTCTAT